TGTTTTTATTTTTGCCAGTCTTGTACAATACGTAACAATACTAAACAAAATTTATTACTATACATCAGCATAATATACACTTAAATCACTGATTCGTTGGTCGATTCACTATTAATAATCTTTTGTTTAATTGATCAAAAAACTTTTGCATAAGGCTTCGTGCATTCTGGCATTCCCAGCGAGAGATAATTTCTCTTACTTGGCAGTGCCAGCGAAATTAAGTGTATAGCGAATATATAGAGAGAGACGGAGGTGTGATAAACGTGAGGAACTTTGGTTATAAATAAATGTATAAAGAAGTAATTAAACCTTAAAGGGACTTAGTGTGTCGGCCAGTCTTTATACTGTGCCAACTTCTCGATCATGAGAAATTATGGTTAATAACTAATTATCTAGCTGTTCAAACCCAAAATAAGAAGAACAGCGCCTAAGCTTGCACTTTGGGGAATCAATTGATCCCAAATTCAACGCAAATCATTGCGAATTGAGAGAGAACAGTTACATTTCTTGAGCTTGAAAGAGTGTGCCAGTGGGCATAATCTAAAATGTAACTTTTTTCAATAAATAATGTATTGAATTATCTAAAATTTGAACTGGGCCTACAAAATAAAAAGGTTAACACGGCTGTTCTTATAGTTATGCAATTATTGGGTTTTAAAAATTGATTTTTATAGTAAATGGCATTACATAACCTATAAATCAGCAGATGTTGAGTATTTTGTTGTATGTTTATATTTTGAACTGCATATTTTCAAAAAACGTGAAAGGACCGGCGTTTGCCTTGTTATTTTAGAGGCTCTGTCAAAATGTCAGATAACTTAATGCATTACTTTTTGAAAAAAAAAATTACATTTCAGATTATGCACACTGACATACTCTTTCATGCTTAGGAAATGTAATTTCTTTCTTTCAGTTCGCAACGGATTGCGTTAAATTTGTGCTCGATTGATTCCTTTAAGTGCCAGCTTGGGGGCTCTTCTCCTTATTTTGGATTTAAACAGCTAGATAATCAGTTATTAACCGTAATTTCTCACAATAGACAGGTTTCTAAAGTAGAAATTCCGGCCGATATACTGAATGCCTTTAAAAACCAGAGACTTTGTCTGAGAGTTAAGAGATCGACTTACACATTGGCACACATTTTTCTATTCATAACTTGTAAATAACTTGATAACAAGGTAAAAATGATATAAATATATAAATACAGATGAAAAAAAATAAATACTTTAAATTAAAGGTCTTATACACTAATGTAAGTTTTATGAATGATTTGTGCATGCTTCAAATAAATTAGCAAGCATGTGTATTTTCTCTTGTTACCGTGTATACATAACTTCATGTTAAACACGAAAATTTTAACCAAAATACCTGATCGAAAATCGTACCTGGGTTAAAACGAGAGCCTAGCAAGGATTATTGCATGCCTAGCTAAGCTTTTATTTTAGCCCAGGTACGATTTCCGATTGGCTAATAGCCATAGCTTTTAATTTCTGATTCAAGTCTTGGTAATTTATGAGAATTGACATTTTTTTTTTTGAAAGGTGAGGAGCTGCAGACTTCGGCTATTAAAAATAAAGTGTATACAAGCCTATATATTTGAATCATCTAGCAGAAAATGATTGTATAAATTGTTTGAGTAAATATAAATTTAATAGGCATAATAAGAAAATTTAATAAGAAAAGTTATCGGAAAGTAAAAAGTAAAAATTTATAGTAGTTCGTTGACTGCAGCTCTCTAAAATGCTGATACCCGCATAGAAGAATACGGACACACTGACTCACAAGAATACATAATCTATATTGGGCCGTGACATCTTGTTAATTTTTTTAATTTTCTTAATACGCAACACAACTATTTGTTTACAAATTTTTTATCCTATAAATTTCGGTCCAAATTATTATTTTTTCACTGCTCGTATCAAAAACAAATTCCTATCAAAAATATACGTATTTCATAAGTCAGTTCGACATTTTTCTTCCTTATGGTCCTGATCAAGGTTGCTGCATAATGTGAATATAAGTAGTTATATTAATAATATTTATAATAACATCACATAATAAGCATTATGAACAGAACACAACTTAGCAACGTTGGCAAATGATAAACAACGGCATTAGTGCAGTAGCATGAAAAAATAAACTAAGGTAATATTTCTAATAAGAGCAGTATTAGTTGTATATTTAAAAAACTGACGTAAAAAATTTACGTCTACCTGATATTCAAAAGTTTAAAAAACTCGAAAGACTCATAATGCAAAAAGTAAAAAATATATAATAACTGGTTTTTTTACCTATCGTTCTAACTTATGAAAAATAGCAGAACAGAAGTGCAAGCAGGTAGACGGATCACTAATTAACGCAATAATATTTTTGATGAGTTTTTGTCTAATGGTTACATTAATTACATTTTGTTATTTATAGAACTCAACAAGGCCACTTGCACATTAAAAAAGGCCACGCTTACTCGTATAGTGGGATTGAGTTAAATCATAAGTGCCGAGATGATAACGTTATCAATAATAAAATCATAAAATCTTAGTAATAATAGAAATAATAATACTAAATCTATCATAACATTTTCTTCAATGCATAAATTAAACTAAAATACTCTTTTTAACCAGGGAAAAGCAGATAATGTAATATTTATAAACTGCATTGAATTTTCAAAAACTACATCTTACAAGCTCTTTGATACTTTCTTGTACTTCCTTTCTGTATTTTCATTTTATGTTTTGCCTTTGTCTTACCTATTGTATTAGATATTCTGATGTTTATCTTGAATTTATTTAGTTTTATCCCTTTTTGCTCTTTTTTTTGTGTTCTCTCTAAATCATTTTTTTTTTTTTTTTGTATGTATTGATCATCTTATTGCCTTTAAGACACAGTTTTTATATACTTTCTGCGATCAAGAAGTATCTTTTTTTTATCTTGTGAGTACTTGCACTGTATAATTATTTAACTTACTTCTTGATCATACTAAGCTTGCACTTTTTTTAGTCTTGTATAACGGTTTTCAAAAAACTGTAGAGATCATTATGTCAGACCATAAATTCTAACGCAATACAATTATCATTTGTTGTACACATAAACGGAGGAGCTTACATTATTCAAGTCAATTAAATAATTATAAAAATAGAAAAACGAGTATGTTGCTATAAAAAGTAATACACGACTAACGAACGAGGTTAACGATCTTCGTGACAGGTTTGGCCCCTAGTTTCAGCCTAAAAATATGGAGTCACTATAGCGTGTCAACAAAACCTCTTTCTGCAGAAAATTTTTTCTCTTCTATTTACAAACTTCTTTTTTATGTCTTCTATTTTTGAAGCACTCTATTACTCACTCACACGGACTTGCAATTGATTGGAAGACAATAGTTAGTTTGGAACAACCCCTGAACTTTTAGGCGATGTTGACCATGTTACAATATCCCAAGATCGAAAGCTTTCACCATTTACAGGGCATTTTGGAAGATTGGTAGATGACAGGACGGCAAACCCTCCTTAAATAGGGTAAAAAAATTGTTTTTTTTATCCTTTACCTGTTTGGTAATACAAGTTGACTTATTCGCTTACAGTACTGCCAGCTTCGATTCTGTCTACTAACATAAAAGTTAGATTAGATCTTTAAATTATCAAAACTATGAAAGACAGTGCTGCTTATTTGGTTAAAGATGGGCAGCCGACTTTCAGCACCAGGTGATAAGGGTGCCTGGGTCCTTGTGTCCAATAGTGGTGGGCTGGAGGTGCACCTATGCGAGCCTACCAGTTTTTGTCCGAGGCCGGTAAAAGTTAACATACTTTCGGTGCCACTATTACCAGAATTAATGATGACAGAAGTACGGTCGAGCGGTGGGGAGGCCGATTCATCGCCGAAGAAGCTTGTCATAGAGTTGGTTGGTGACTGGCTAAGGCTTGAAGTGGGTGAGATCGATTCTGCAACGCTGCCCAATGAAAAAGTAGGCGAGAGGTTAAGTGTTGTGGGCTTAGTAGTGTAGCTAGCTTCGGACAGACCAAATGAGCTGCTCTTAGGCAGAGTAAATACTGTTGGCTGTTGCTGATAATGGTGGTGGTAGTGGTGGCACGGTAATTGGTTTACCTGACTAAGTGAGCTGGCGCGTACGAGCGGAACATTAGCCCCATCGGATGTATTACCAGTAGTTAATTGTTCAATAAGAGCAGCACCTACCCCAAAGGGTTGAAGAAGTGAGCTAAGACTTATGGGTCCTGAATCTTCAGTAGCCATACAAACATTTGAGTCACCGTTAGGTACTGTTAGTTTTAAGTTATGAACGCGTGCCTCTTCAAAGTTGTGCACAAAGTGACAGCGAGGCCCATATGGGCAGAAGCCGATTTTATGAAAAGTACGGCAAAGTTCTGTCTTGTACTTAGGATGGCGCGTGAGGTTACGCAGTTCGGAGTAGCCATGTGCGAACTGACACTTGTCCCCGTACTTGCAGCTACCACTCTCCTCAAACGGTCGACAAAGCTCAGTCTTATAGCGCGAGGTTGGCTCGCTAACGGATCGATCAAGCTTGCGGTGTTGCTCAAGTAGGTTCACTAGGTTGTTATAACTGCGCCGTATGATAGGGGAGTTGTTACTACTGTAACTTGTCGTAGACGTCTGACTTATAGTTAAAGCACCAAGAACCTGTTGGCTCACCATAGCAGTTGCTGCAGCCGCTGTTTCGTTCGTGGCATTGATATTTCCGCTACTGGTCTGTAACAAAGTAAGTAAAAGAAAGTATAAAAATAGGCTTCTACTATATCTAAAGGTGTAGAATTGAACTTAAAAATGATCTTTTAGTAGTTTAAGAATTAAAGACTATTTTTTACGACCCTCACACATTTAAAGAGTCTCTCTCATGCTGGAGTGCCTACTATCCCAGTGAATAAGCTGCAAAAAACTGTAAAATGTGGAAAAATGATAAAACAGTGCCGATTTGAAAAGTTCTTGTTGTCCCGTATTCCGTAGGCATTCAGGAATATTTATCATCACTAACCCTTCCATTACCTTAAAAAATGAATTAATTAGGGTGTTTTCACTTCTTCAAATCATCCCCATTAGTTGCAGTAATAAAAATTGTAAGAAAGTTTATTATTTTGACTTGAAAATGAACTCTTAAGGGGTTTCAAGATCTCTAATCACGAATATGGAGTCCAATTGTGTGCAGAAGTGGTTTTAACTCCTAAAAATCACTTTCAGACACAGAAAATATCGAAAAATTCTCTATTTTTGCTAGAGAATGATCTCTTGGGGGTTGAATTTCTCTATTATTTCATACTGTTACTTTTTTTTGTAATATTGATATTTTATTACTAATATAGTATTCATATCTTTGAATGTTCTGTAATATCATGCACTAATGTAGTATATTCCATTGTATGTTTTGAAATCGCCTCGCCATCTATTTGTCTCTAGCTACAGTTAGATATTCTTTTATAATGTATCTCACCATCTCAATCTAGATTCTTTTTTATTCTTCTTTTTGATAACCCATGCTGTTTAACTTAACATCTCATAGTTAGCCTCACGTAGGGAGCAACGTGTTTTAATTACTGTTAAGTTTTGGTTCAACTTATTGTATTGTTGCATCGATTGTAAAATATTAAAAAAAAATTAATGAAGTAACTCTCATAGAAAATACAGTTATATTAAATGTAGATGTTACAATCACTATCGATAAAAAAAATGATCTATTTTTTGCAGGACAATTTTTGTGTGTAATGCAGCCAGAAACATCAAATCTTATCAAAATGTTTCTTTTGTCAGGAAAATAAATTTTATCAGCCGACCTTAGATTCGTAATAATTGACCTCTAAAACCCTCGAGAAGTCATTTTCAAGCCAAAATAATACATTTTCATAAAAATTTTTAGTACTTTAATTCATGAGGGTGATTTGGAGGGGTAACATCACCCTAATGCCGTCATTTTTCTAGGTAATGCAAGGGTTAGTTTTGATGAATTTTTCTGAGCGTATTCAGAATACGGATCAAGAATTTTTCAAAATGTTGCTGTTCCAGCCCTTTTCCACATTTTCCGGTTTATTTACTGGGCACCCAAATTTTAAGATTAAAAAAATAAGAAATTTGGGAGGGATACCAACATACACAGAAATGTAGTTGTTAGTAGTTTAAACATCGTGACACGAGTGGCTGCGTATATTTTTTAAAATATTCTTAAATTAATTAAAAGAAAGGAAGTAAACCAAAGAAAATGTGGGATAGCAAAATTTTGCAAGGCACTAGAAAAGAAATAAAGTTTTAATAGATGCATTTAAAAAGAAACTTTCAAGAGTATAACAAAGTCAACAACAAAGTCTGCGTAACATCTTCACTAGACGTAATAAATGCAATTTCAGATAAGATACGAAATATATATGAAACGTGAAAACAATTGTTAAAATATTTAGTGTGTAAATTATAAAAAGACAACAGTACACACGTAGAATAGAAAATACAACGACGTATTGTGTTAATAAGAATTAAATATCAATCGGTTCATTTGATTTTTTTATGCTTTTTAATTTTCATGGCACTCGCTTTTGCTAAGAAGCAATATGTCGGCTTCAGCAGACGACATAACATGTATGCTGACTATGGTCCCTTTTCAGCAATAACTTCAATTTTGGGCGCACTTATACATATTTTTCACAATGGCATTTAAAAATAATAGTTATAATCTACAATACCTGTCATACCTGCATACCCTCCTTTCAGAAATCGGGTGATTGATTTGGTTATTTCTTATTTCAAAATATGTATTTTTTTATTTTTTTATTATTTAAACCCCTTTTCTCGTCTTCTATCAATTTAAGACTATTTTTACTGATACTTTATTTCGTATAGTTGTCTCAAAAATATTTGTAAATCCAAAATTCAAAAGATCAAAATTTTTGAAAGTATGCATAAAAACACCTAGTATTAGTGAAAAATACACAAAGAATTAAAAATCTTGACAGATGAGATTTTTTGATAAAAAATCACCTGATTAATCACGAAATTTACGAAAGGAGGGTACTTGAAATACTTAACACTTTCGATAAGGGTTGCAAATCGTTCATCTTGATATGTCTGCCATAACCTTTCAGTTAAAAGGGCAAACTTAAAGCATACATTCCTCAAGATTTTGTATGGTTGATGGTGTAAATAAAGGTACCGTTAAATTCGGCGAAGTCTAAGCTATTCAATGATAAGACTTATCCTATTAAAAGTGCATATTTGTAATTCTAAGATTCTTACTCTTAAAAGTAAATTTTTAGGTAATATCTTACAAAATCTATTAAGAGAAATTTTATCTTCCAACCTAGATTGGAAGTGACATACTCCTACATCTGTTCTACAATGCTTTTATGATATTTTGAGTCCTAATAAGGAACCCGCGTAAAGATTTTTACGTTTGGCCAAAATTTCGCCAAAGTTCATGTGGTCAACGTTTGGCCAAACTTTGGCCAAGCTTGGGCAATGAGAAAATCCCAAACTTGGATTTTCGTTGGAATATTTTAATCAATATTTTTCGTAAGTCATATAATGCAGACCAACTAATATCCTGACGCAACAAATTAATTTTTTAGACGTTTGGAAAAACATTTGCTAAACTTGAGTAAAATATTCCAACGAAAATCCAAGTTTGGAATTTTCTCATTGCCCAAGCTTGGCCAAACGTAAAAATTTTAACGCGGGAAGTGGATGAATTAGGGTCATTATTTATGTCCATCATTAATTATAGTTATGAATGTGTAAAAAGTTATTCGTAAATTAATGTTTGTGAATTAAAGCTATATTAATTAATCCACAAAGTTCAATTTTTGAGTGGAATTTAAATAAATGTATTCAAAAGATACTAAAAAAAGTTACTCACACAAGTTTTGGCTCTATAACTTTGATAAAAAAATGCCTGTTCGAAGTAAAGTATTGTATAAGACTCAATTTTGAATTATAAAAAATTTGAAACTTTGCTCCGCACTTAATACTTTAAAAATTCGCTGCTTAATTTATACACGCTCTTGAATTTTTAAAGAAGTGTTGTTACAAGAATTGATAGAGAATGAAATATAAAGAAGCATTAACAGTAGTTTTTGTACCAAAGTAGGATTAGTGTACCGAGGAGGTATTGGTAAATATTTGTGCCTAAGTAGCAACTGACTTTTTTTTCACTCAAGGGCGTATAGTACTGTTTTTCATCCATGGACACACTTTGTGACCCATAATTACTTTACGCCTCAGAACCATAACGGAGAAATACTTTAGGCATTCAGGACTAAAATAGTTAATAATGCAACAGCTATGAAAATAGTAGTTTTTGTCACTGGCGCAATTTTTTTTTTAGGAAGATCTTTGAGACCTTTGTAACTGCCTTGGCTGGATATCCACCAGTAGGACATGCTGTTTTTCCTATCGAAGGCGTAGTAAATGTCTGAATACGCAACAATAAAAAAAAATTGGTAAAAACAAGAATTTAATTCTGTGACTCTAGGAATTTGTTTGAGATACAACATAATATTCATAAAATGAAAGTTAATGCACAATTAAAAAATGTAACATACATAAACTTTTCTGTTTATCAGTGTCTGATGATATCTAAGCATAGAGTATGTCAAATTACAAAACAATTTTTGATGTATCTATCAAAAAAAAACTTTTAAAGGAAAATTAAAAAAAACGAGTCTCTTTCGAGCAAGATTTTTTTACTCTGCTCTTACGGTACGAATACTACTATTTTTTAGCATGGATACAAAGCCTTTTGGGCCCTTATAGCGAAAAATAGTAGTTTTCATACCTGGTGGTGCATGTCTCCAGGGCAAGTATCATGCTTTGTGTTTATTCTGATTAGATGCGCACCAGGTGCGAACTCTATTTTTTTACTGACGACGCAGTAAAGTTTCATAGGTTGAAGAAAACCTCTAAAGTAAGAAAAGTACTTTAACACAAAAGCACCATTCAACCCTTCGCTCTCTTGGACCACAAAACAGCCTTCTGGTAATTATGAAACGAAAACTATTATAATCTCACTTCTTGGCTTTATTCGTTCTTTAACGTTTTAAAATATTTAACATCACTTTAAATATTAAAAGAAAAAAACTCTTGCAGAGGTATGGCTTGATAAAAAGGTTCAGTTTCTCATTTTGATTTGAAAGACTTAAATTATTCATCGTAAATAAACATAAGCGCCAAAATCCTCAATTTTGAAGTATGTCTATGTCTAGACCTCTTTTTCAAATATTCAATGAAATTGCTTGATGAGATTTGACTGAAATAGATTATGCAATTTACAATGAAATTACTAGATAGATCATTTACAAAAATTTGTTTTATTAAATGTGCATTACTGTAGAATTATTTACAGTTAATTCTTAGAAAGTTGACTTACAAATCTTTAAGAGCTTTCAGTACATTATTCAGAGTTTGCCTCTGATCAACTAACTTAATTTGATACAAACTTCCATTATTACTTATTTATACTTATACTTTTGTGTAAAATGATAACTAAAATGCCCACCAAGCTAGTACTTTTGGGAAACGATCAAGCCAAAACTCAGTGTAATTTGTCACACTATGCAAAAAAAATGTTACGTCCTGTAATTATAAAATCTACCAGTACTTAACTTTAATTTAAAAAAAAATATTTTAAACTTCCTATCTTATCGATACTATAATGTTAATACTACAGCTATGTAGTGTGATTTATTATATAGATTTTAATTTTGTTAATTGTTCTA